CCCCCCCCCCCCTCCCCCCGTCGCCCACCGCCCTGGCCCACCTCTTCATCGTCCTCCTCGCCTCGCCCCCCTGCGACCACCCCGCTCGTCCGCCCTTTCTCTCTCGGTGCCCCCCCCCCCCCACCGCCCGCCGTGCCGCCGCCTCGAAAGCTTTAGATTACCTACCCCTTATAAGCGCTCGTGTTGCCCATTTATTACCACGACTCCCGCGACTACCACGACCGAAAGACCGACCGCCCCCACTTTCACTCCCCCTCTCTCACTCCCCGCGCGCCGTTTCATCCTTCGTTTTCCACCTTTCGTCCTGCCGTTCTCCTTCCTTCTTCCTACCCACCTTCGGCACCTGCACCACCCGCGTCGTTTCCTTCGTTTCTTCGTGCCATTCTCAAGCGGCACCGCCGCGATCCTTATTAACGCTTTAACGCTACCATTACATAACTACGCGTGCCCGCTTCCCGACTCGAGAGGCTCGAATAACACGATTAGTCGAGTTTACAGAGAATTACGCGCACTAGAAACTATATCTCTCTTCTTCCTCCTCCCCCCCCTCCCCCCCCCTCCCTCTCTCTCTCTCTGCGAAACGCATCACGCTGTGCTTTATCCGTCTAGATTTAACGGCGATCGAGCGGTTCTCGAAATGAGCCATAATTAACTAATAAACGTTCCGTAGCTGTCACAATCAAAATACCTTATTTATTTATTTTCAGCATTTTTCTCAACTTTTTCTCACTGTGTCTTCGTTTTTCATCATTTTTCTATCCCTCGGTGCCTGTTTTTCAACATTTCTTTCCTCGTCTCTATCTTTTGTCCTTCGACATTGTATGTGTCACAGTCTTTATTATTCCACCAGTTATATATGATAAAGCTACATCTCTGTTTGAAGCGCAATACCGTTTCCCTATCCGCTTCTGTGCCTCGAATAATATTAATCGAGTTTGCGGAGAATTACGGGTACGAGAGCTCTACGATTGTCCGAGGGCGTATTATTGTTCCACGTCGGTTTAAAATGTTAAAAAGAATCCATTATTTTCTAAGAGGCTGTAGACATCACGCTCTGCCGTGCACGTATAATCCGTCTATGTATTATCGATATAACTCCCCGGTCTATCACGGCTGAGAAATCAACCTCTCCCGCGTTTTTTGTTGCATTTTTTGTTTCATCGTTTCATCGCTTATTTCCGCTTTTGTTCTTCCCTGTGAATGCCCACCATCCAACATTTCCTTTGTTCCGTGCCTCTATTCCCAAGCACCTTACAGTCCTTATTAGCTTTAACGCTACCATTACATATCTACGCTCGTGGTTTACGGCGAGAAGCTCGAATAACACGATTAAGCGAGTTTACGGTGAATTACGTGTACCAGAGCTACGTCTATTCCAAGCGCATTACTGCTGTCTATCCGTTTAGAATTGAGCTTTTCTTCGGGATAGAAGCTACAGAGTAGTAAGAGATTACGCTTCGGTGACGCTTTATACACGACGCATTTCTTATCGATGGCGTTAATTTTTTCTGAAAATTATAATTTTCGCTTCGCAACACACATTTAACGCTAAATGTTTCATTCCGTGCTTTATGCCTTTAATATAAAAATCGCATACGGTGTAAACAGATGAAATGGGACAACGCAATGAGAATTAGACGGCTACATTTAACGCTAAATATGCGTTGAGAATTCAAATGTGTTGTATATTTTTGGTGCAATGCTGGCGTATTTATTTTTCATCGTGGGGTAATTAACTTGTACGTGCCAGCATCACGGAAAGTCATTGTTAATGTCGTGAGCTACGCACTCACTTTTCACGACGCGCGCGTGTGTTACTTTAAATTAAAATATTAAACTATACATTCTGGAGAATTAAAAACTGGAATAGCTAAATTACAAGACAATGCCTCGCGCAATTGCTACGAAAGAATTAATTTCTTATGCGAACACAAAATAGGATAATTTGTTTTGAAATATACTAAAATAATGTTTATCGCAATTTCCCCGCAAATTCGCCGCCCAATTTGCTTTAAATAACGCATAATTGCGGCGCTTTTAAGCATATTCTGTTTTACGATGGTGTTGCGTCAGCTATCCTATATTGATCGCGGCCAACGGTATTTAATGCGTACGGCGATTTTCACGCGGGATTTTCGCCGGCTGAAAAATAACCCCCGATATTAGACACGCGAGGAAAGTTCGAGGAGGCGAGAAAAGCCCGAAGGAAAAAAGGCCGAGAATGGCGGTCTCGGTCGATGAAACGTTTCCGCAGGGACGAGTTGGAATGAACCGCGCGCGGAAAGCTGGAGCGGGGTAGGAGCAATGAGGGAAAGAGGGAGCGGGCAGCGGATGAAAAAAACAAAAAAGAGGGCCCGCGCGCAATCACGAGAAAGATAAAGCGAGAAAACGAGAGAGAGAGAGAGAGAGAGAGGAGAGAGAGAGGGACGAGAGAGGAATTGGAAGGACGGAGCGAGCCGAAAAGTGCGACGCAGGGATGGCATTTCGCATTGTAAAGTTTTCCGGGCAACCGCAGGAGCAGCAGAGAACAGTGGAGGACGACTGGAAGAACGACAGAGAGAACCGTACGGATGCACGACGAAAGATGAAAGGGGAGGGTAGAAAGCGAGAGAGGAAAACGGTCTCGGTTGACGGGCGGTTGCTTCGGCCCTGTTCTCGTTCGTTTCCTCTCAATTCGTCGGCCAGCGACACGGCGAAGAGAGATCTCCACATGAAGGACGCGCGGGGAGAGGGGAGGGGGGGGAGGAGTACGCGGGAGAATGCAGTCGCAGGATGACGCGAGAGAGCGAGAAAGCGGGAGGAGGGACAGAGATCCTCCGTGTGACGATGAAGAGGGATGCGGAAGAGAGAGCTGCGAAGCATTACGCAGGATACCACGGATGCGGTGATGCTACCCGAGAGGAACGGAGAGGACAAGAAAAAGCGGGGGGGGGGG